CCTGCTTGCTTTTCTCTGTACTTTTTCTAGAGCCTCAACATCTTTTTTATAATGTGGTGACCAAAATATAAAACAAAATTTAAGACAATTTAAAACATACACACATAGTAACATCACTACACTGAAACTTCATAAATAACAGCAGTAAAAAGCAGTCCTGAAACAAAAGCAATAGTAAAGACAATACAAGTGAAAGTTAAACATGGCATCATAAAATCAGTGGAAGACACCGAAACAATTCCCTTTATAATAGTTTTTGAACCATTAACAAAGAGTGGGCTGGTCTAATCTCCACCAACAGGATGGTTCCACAGCATCAGTGCTCCAAAAGAAAAACAGTATTTTCTCACTTCAGTACCTCTCGTTTTGAAAAATGTGAGATTTGTAGCAGTTTCTCCTGTTTAATCTGATCAGTTGGGCTGATACTGATTGTTGTAGGTGGTCTTGCGGATATCTGGGTACCTAGTCGTAAAGAATTTGCATAGGTCAAAAATTGTATCTGGAAACCAATTGGCAACCAATGCAGGATCTGCAAAACTAGAATTATGTGTCCCCGATGCCAGGAACCAGAAAGTCTATGATCCATTCAATGTTGGTCCAATTGCAAGTAGTTTTTAAGGACAGCTCCAAGTTGAGTAGTAGTCCCCAGCTTACAACTCAAAATTACAACAGCAACAGCACTGAAAAAAGTGAGTTATGACCGTTTTTGATAGTTACGACCTTTGCAGTATCCCCATGATCATAAGATCAAAATCCACATGCTTGGCAACAGATTCATTTTTATGACCGTTGCTGTGTCCCAAGGTCATGTGATCACCTTTTGCAGCCTTCTGATTGCAAAGTCAATGGGGAAGCCAGATTCACTTAACAGCCGGGTTATTAACTTATCAGCTGCAGGAATTCACTTAACAACTTTCGCAAGAAAAGGTTGTAAAAAGGGAAAAAACTCACTTAACAAATGTCTCACTTAACAACAGAAATGTTGGCTGAATTGTGGTTGTAAGTCGAGGACTACCTGTACATTGCAGTAGTCTAGCTGGGGTGGATGGGTGTTGAGGGCATGAGGTCAGGCACAAGAAATCGGGAGTCAGGATTAGATCCAAAACGAGTACAAGTTTATTTCATGCATCCTCTAAACAAAAATCTGAACTACCAATGATCAAGGCAAGGCAGTAGGTAACAGTAAACGGAATTCAAGGAGGGCTGGATTTAGATTTTTTATGGGCACGAAAAGACTCCAAATTGATAACTTGCTTGATCCATCCCTTGGGCTCAGCCTGGTCATTTCCTACACATGAATCACTGTAGTCAGGTCCTCCTGCCCAGTACTGTCACAACTGGTACTTCAGCAAAGCTGGACATAGGCCCTTCTGGGAATCACCTTCACCTTGCTCATCCAGTGGGAGCTGTGAGTCCAGAAGAAACCTCCGTTTGTGAACTCGCTTCTTCAAGGGTAAACGTCCATCCAAGAACAACTGTGGCTGGATCTAAGAATCTCAGTGTAAAATTAGCAATTGATCAAGGATCAGTTTCATTCTGTTCTCTATCTTCCAGACCCTGACAGTTTCCAAATATCAGAAAAGATCTTGGACAGGGTCTCTCATGCAGTGGTAGGATTCAATTTTTTTACTACCGGTTCTGTGGGCGTGGCTTGGTGGGCGTGGCAGGGGAAGGATACTGCAAAATCCCCATTCCCTCCCCATCCCACTAACCTGATTTCCAGCTCCATTCTCCTGTGCAGGGCAACAAAAGAAGAGCCAGCCAATCAGCTGGGACTCGGGAGGCAGAGAATAGATGGGGGCGGGGCCAGTCAGAGGTGGTATTTGCCAAGTTCTCCTAACTAATCAATATTTCCGCTACCGGTTCTCCAGAACTGGTCAGAACCTGAGCAGAAGCACCTCTGCCCTCATGGTCCGGAGTAGCAGTATAGCCTTCCCTACCCACCTGAGGCACATCATGCGCCTTACCTTACTGCATTCCACTCTCTGCTTGGATTTCATCTCCCTCTCTTCACTAGAGGCTCGCTGGAAGGGTTGCCTGCCGAAGGATATCATCTCCCCTCTGTGCTTGGAAGGGAATGCCTTTATTGGGTGCAGGGATGGGGCTCAGATCTTCGTGATCCATTTCACCACCCCACCAAAAGAACATGCAGAAGAGAACTCCTTCCACAGAGTGCATAAACATTCGAATCATCAAGATCTGAGCTTTGTTTCTCACCCCACGGAGGGAGTTCAGCTACCTTTGGCAGGCAGCTCTTTCAGCAAGTCCCAAGAGATGAGCTGAAGTCCTCTCGGCAGGTGGCAGCTTGCAACCTTCCATGCTGACTTCCCCAATGATTTTCTGGGGAAGCTGACAGAGGAGACTGCAAATGGCCTTCCCATGATTGTAGGGCACTTGGCAGCCAGTTGTAAGAATGAACCAGGCATCCAGATTGTGATCGTGTGATTGGGAGGGAGTCTTTTTATGACAGCCAAAACTGTTTTATGGGCTGTCATAATTTCCAACAATTCTTAAACAACCAGTTTTAAGTCCTCTATCTGTAATGCTGAAGGTTGTTGGAAAAATTTGAATTGAAAGTGCTCTCAATAAAATCAAGCTGATTTTCAGGTGAGATTTACCTCAGCAGATTGCCACATATACTTTCTAAAGATAACCACTTATGGTTAAAAATGGCTTAAAACTCCTATCTTACCTACTATTGTCTTTGTAATTTCCATCTGTTATTAATAAACTTATGAAACATAGAAAATATTTTGGGGAAATACAGATTGGCTTCCTCTGCAGTTGGTTGGCCATAGTAAGAACAGTCTGCTGGATTAGATGGGCCAGCCAGGGGTCCGATCCAGCAACACACTGCTTATGTTCAAAAAAGCAGCAGGTACTTCACTAAGTAAATGAGGCTATCATCATTCTCTTCTGCTTTATAGGATGGTAAGTTTGTGAGACAGTTAAACACAGGATATTTTGTAAAGAGGCAGCCCCGATTGTTGTTTCCTAGTACCTTATGGGAAAAAGCAAGATTTTAGGCTGTGTGTTGTTGTTCCTGTTGAATAACCACAATTTCTGAGAGTTTTTGTAAATAAAATTGACTTGAAGCAAAATTGTTTTGCCTAAAAAAAAAGAAAAGAAAAACAGTGGGCCTCAAGGGCTTGTATCAATAACTATAATGTTCCTGAAGACTTCTATAAAGCTATTGTATCTGTCAGTTATATAGGCATAAAAGAAGTTGCTTTTTGAATATTGTCCTTATATGCATTTCATTTTTAAATGTGCCAAGTAGTCATGCAGTGCATCAGGGGAGTCTGGCCAGTAATGATGGCTTATGTATCCACTCTGAAAGGCAAATTGGCCCATTCAGGTCTGAATTGCTTTGTATTTGCTCCATGCTGGAGAGGGAAAATTTGCCACAAATAAAGGTGGAAATGATCTCATTGCTTGATGGATGCATAGCTATTTCCAGCCTTGGCTTGAATTTATGCCTTTCTCATTGGTAAAGCTTTAGATATAGTACTAGTAATATAGAAGTTTCAGACTCTTAAAGTTCAAAAGGTTGAATAATGCTGAATTTCTCATCAAAAGTAGGCTATGTAGTTATGAAGGAACCCTCCAAGCACAATCCTAGTCATGAATTAATACAAAGACTGTTTATTTTATTTATCTACTATATTTATATGCTGCTCAGCTGATTGTTTAAGTGACTCTGGGTGGCTTACTAAATGAAAAAAGAATAAATTGAAAAATAACTAAAATTAGTAAGAATTAAAGAGACAAAAACTAAGAGTACAAACAGTGGTGAAGGGAGGTCTTCTCTTTTACACAATCAACCACCTCCAATATAGAGCACCTCATAGGAGCCCAGCAGAGCCAAAGATTTAAAGCCTTTTCAGAAATCCAAGAGGATGGGAATGGATCTCACCTCCAACAAAGGAAGGAGGAGGGGGGACATGGTAGAGATGTAAGAAGTCATACATTGCATACAAAAATAATTGGAGAGGATTTTTTCTCCCTCTTTCATAATGTTGGAATCAAACTAATCCTCTGAAACTTGAGATTTAAGCAGAAGATCAGGACAAATAAATATTAATTCCAATTATCTTTCCCAACCAGCATTTTCCAAGTTTGTTGGGATTTATTTGGCTATATCGGCTGGGGGATTTGAGGAATGGCACTATATTTGGAGGGTCTTCAGCTTAAAAATGGTAGATATAAGCATTAAATAAATTATAGCTTATTCTTCTGTTACAAAAATGTGAAGAGAAGTTGAATTAGTATATATCTGGCTTGGACCCATGATGAGTGTGAGTCATCCTGCCATGAAAACGTTCCCCATCACAGGAGAAACAGTTGTTCTGTGCAGAACTCTTATCTTCTTTCAGTGCCTGTTCGTGCACGCCATGCAAGGGGAGCAGTCAAATTGCTAGGAGAGGAAGTCAGATGATTGGGTATTAATGTAGCCCATAAAGAAAAGGGCAGTTATTATGTTTTTTTTCTCTGCGAAGCTAAGGAGTATGAATGATGAGGGAGGGAAAAGCCAAGACATTCCTTGTTCCAGACAATTCCAATTCAGCTACATTCATACAACATCCTAAACTAGGTCATTTATTGTGTTGGTTCTTTTCCTGTAGGTTAGTATGTTGTCAAACTCAATGTAACGAGTTTATGGTTTAGTATTATGTGACCAGAATATATGTTACTTCAATAACTAGCATAATCGCAACCTTTCATTTATGCAAGGCATCTCCAGAGATCCCAACTTGATGGGTTGATTGAACAAAGCAATAATGTATGGTTGTTTCCTCATCTGCTTGTTTATATGTGCATGTGTGTATTTGTGCAAGTTCTTATTTCTGGGGAATTTCAAACCCTCGAGATGATGGAAATGGTACTGTGATAGGATTGTTGCCTGTTTGCAGGATTGTATCCATCAATACATCCAGTCACAGAGGAAGCTAAGTATGCATTGATGTCTTCAAAATGTTTATTTACTTGTTCCTCTGCAGGATTTGGGAATGGAATCAACTTCACTGGATGATGTCTTATATCGCTATGCCAGCTTTAGAAACCTTGTTGACCCAATCACCCATGACCTGATCATCAGCCTTGCCAGATACATCCATTGCCCTAAACCAGTAAGTACTCACTTGCAGTTGTTTGGGTTTGTTTGAGGAAAGAGTAAAATTGCTACCTATAACAAAAGGGTTGCTAGAGCTCACATCTCTTAGAAGGAATTGCTAATTGAACCATCTGAGAACTGGCTCATATCTTGCTCGACTTTTCTACCTTGTGTAGTGGCGAACCAGAGAGTGATTCTGGGCCTGAATTTATAGGATGCAGGCAGCTATCCAGGAGTATTTCAGCAGCCACTGGTGGATGAAATGTTGGGAGACAAGTATTTACAAAAAGGGCTACTGAGTGTGAAAATAATTGTAATTAGATAGGGGCAAAATGTTTGGGCTTGTGATAGAAACTCTGTTGGACCAAAATGGATGAAAAAGATGAGTTCAAAAGTCATTAGCACAAGGGAGGAAAAACTCTTGCTGTGGTAGCTAGGTTGTATCCACAGAACTTGCTTAAGCAGGTTAAATGAAGAACGACCAGTTACATTCCATAACATATTATGTGCAGTTATCATTAACCTTGATTTTATATATGGATTGTTTATCATAAAGTATAAATTCAATCTGTTTTAGAATAGAATAGAATAGAATAGAATAGAATAGAATAGAATAGAATAGAATAGAATAGAATAGAATAACAGAGTTGGAAGGGACCTTAGAGATCTTCTAGTCTGCTCAGGCAAGAAACCCTATACTATTTCAGACAAATGGTTGTCCAACATCTTTTTAAGAACTTCCAGTGTTGGAGCATTTACAACTTCTACAGGCAAGTTGTTCCACTGATTAATTGTTCTAACTGTCAGGACATTTCTCCTTAGTTCTAAGTTGCTTCTCTCCTTGATTAGTTTCCACCCATTGTTTCTTGTCCTGCCCTCAGGTCCTTTGGAGAATAGCTGGACTCCCTCTTCTATGTGGCAGCCACTGAGATATTGGAACACTGCTATCATGTCACCCCGTCCTTATTTTCATAAGACTAGACATATCCAGTTCTAGCAACTGTTCATCGTATGTTTTAGCCTCCAGTCCCCTAATTATCTTTGTCGCTCTTCTCTGCACTCTTTCTAGAGTCTCAATATCTTTTTTTACATTGTGGTGATCAAAATTGGATGCAGTATTCCAAGTGTGGTTTTCCCAAGGCATTATAAAGTGGTATTAACACTTCATGTGATCTTGATTCTATCCCTCTGTTTGTTTATGCAGCCTAGAACTGTGTTTTTTGGCAGCTGCAGCATATTGCTGGCTCATATTTAAGTGATTGTCTACTAGGACTTCAAGATCCCTCTCACAGTCACCACTATTGAGCAAGTTTATATTAGTTTATGGTTTGATATATTATTAGCCAGGTTAATTTATAAATCAGGATAAGTGTGTATTAATTCAGCCACTCTGTCATCTTGGTAATCCTTTTCATCTGATATCTAACTTTTATGTCACAATAAATTTTGTACAATCCACAGAAATCAGGTGGGTGGAGAATCTAGCTGACCTTGGTTGATTTTGAAAAGTTGAGCAAGGCCAGACCTACTTAGTGCTTAGATGAAAGACTCCATGAAACCCAAGGTTGTAGTTAGTTAGATTAGGAAATTTGTGGAAAAAAATCTTAAAAGAAATTGGAAACCACTGTTGTATTGTTGCCAAGAAAACTACAAGTTGCCAGATGTTGAGCCTGACTTGGACGAGAATTTGCCTTTGTCTGAGCTGCACAATATCTAGGCGTGTATGCAAAGCACACAATTTCTCTGTGGCTCTGACGGAATGGTTTATGCAGAAACAGGCATAAATAGGAACATTCCCTCCATTTTCCTCCCATCCTTCAATATCTGATTCTAGGGCTGTTCTTGAGCAGAGTACTGGAGTTCTTGTTTAAACAGAACTGCATATTTATTTGCCATGGGGAATTCCTTGCTTCTATTTGTTTTGTTAGTGGGCTTATTTCTCTCTTTTTGGGATATTGTGTTCCTTTCTCTGGATATTCATTGCTTGTTTCCAATAAGATTATATTTGTCATTGGACATTTTTCAACTGCCTGCCTGCAAAGGACATTTATGGTGGGGATTTGGCCTTTTTAATGCAGGAGAGAGAACCCAAGGATTTATTGCAGCCTGGCTCCAAATTGTTGTTGCCTTGTTTGGGCCTTGCTTATTCAATAATTGCTATAATTCTACCCATAGGCCTCCTTAGAAAATAAAACTAGTAATTGCAGTCTAATATTGTTGCTGGAATTGTTCCCCCTATCAAGACATCTAGGCAAAGGTAAACTCTGGGGCTAGGAAGCAATGTTGCCAATTTCTAAGAAATACCACTTTGTCAAGTCCAGTCTGGCCGTTGTTTTGTGACTAGGAGTGCCTGTGACCTGGTTTCAACATTCTCGGAATGTTTGCCAAGATCAAAATGTAGCCTTAAACCAAGGATGTGCTCCTACTGAAATAGTGGGATATCTTGGCTTTTTTAGAAAAACAGAATAACAGGAAAAGACCTTGGAAGTCTTCTAGTCCAGAGGTCACCAATTGGTGGGCCACGGCCCACTGGTGGGCCGTGAGAAAATTTTGGTGGCCTGCAGAGAAATCTCACCCCCAGAGCAATTAATTCAGGCTGCGCAGAAACACAAGGCTGCTCCGCCCACATGGCCCACGGGAAACCTCCATGCCCACTCCCTCCTTACCCGGTAAACTTGCCTCCTAAATTGCTATTTTTCCTTTTTCCGACCATCATCTGTTCTGCTGTGCTGAGAGATTTAGATTAGCTAGGAAGCAGGAAATGGATGGATTTCTTGCTTTCTAGCTAGTTTTTAGATCTTTGGCTCAGCACCTCCCTTAGGACTGAAGGTTTGCTTGCAAGCAAATTCAGTGCAGACTCACGGCAAGCAAATTTGAGAGACTGAGCTAGCCAATGGCAGGTAGATAGATCAATGAATGAATTCTGTGAGCAACTCAATCTGCCTGCTTTGCCTGATTTTAGGTAAAAGGTGCTCTTTTTTTTTTTATAAAAAAATTCAATATTCACATGCATGGTGTTTTGTGAGTTAATTTTGTGAGCTTGCTTGCTAGAAATTTTCATGAGTTTGCTTGCAAGCAAATTTTATGTGACAGACTGAGCTAGCCTATGGCAGATAGATAGATCTCTGAATGAATCTGTGATTCTGTGAACAACTCAATCTGCCTGCCTGCTTTGCTTGATTTTGGGTAAAAGTTGCCCTTTTTAAAATAAAAAATTCAATATTTATATATAATATTTACATACAAGCCATGCCCAGCCAGTCACATGACCACCAAGCCACACCCACAAATTAGGCCATGCCCACAGGACCAGTTAGTGGTCCCTGGGATCTAAAATTATGAGTTTGGTGGTCCCTGAGGTCCAAAAGGTTGGCGACCCCTGTTCTAGTCCAACCCCTTGCTTAAGCAGGAAACCTTATACCATTTCACACAAATATTTGTCCAATCTATTCTTAAAAACTTCCCATTTTGAAGCACCCACAACTTCTGGAGGCAAGTCATTGCATTGACTAATAGTTCTGTCAGGAAAATTCTCCTTAGTTCTAGGTTGATTCTGTCTTTGATCAGTTTCCATCCATACCTTCTTGTCTTGCTTTCTGGTACTTTGGAGAATAGGTTGACCCTCCTCTTCTTTGTGGCAGCCCCTCAAATATTGGAACACTGCTATCATGTCACCCCCTGGTCCTTCTTTTCATTAAACTAGACATACCCAAAACGTGCCAAGTGTTCTTCATATGACTTAGCTTTCAGTCCTCTAATTCCCTTGTTGATCTTCTCTGCACTCTTTTTAAAGTCTTTTCGTTTTTTATACTGTGGTGACCAAAACGGTGTCCATATGCAGGTGAAAAAAAGCTGCTCTTCCATGGAGAACATAGTCGTTTTGTGACTACCATTGCATTGTTTATTAATGATTTGGAAGAATAATTGCCATTTGAGTACTTATTTCAAACATCTAAGGTGGGGAGATTGTGTTTAACTGAATAGACAACGATCCTATTGATTCTTTCCCTCTTGAGCATATGTTTTTCTGCATATGAAAGAAGGACGATAGGAGCTCTTCTCCCTGACAATAGTCAGTGCAAATTACATGGAAATGAGCTTTCCCTAAATGCTTGAAATATTTTTATTCTGCTCTGTCACAAGGACCAAACACATAAACTGCTGAAGAGAAAATTGAATTGGGGATAAATGACTTAATACAGCAGGTGCATTTAGATGCTTCCCAGCAGAGGGGAAAAGCGAAAGGGAAGTTGTGTATGCTGGCTGGGGTGGGGGGACACAAAAACACCCAGGGCATGATTTTTACAAGTAGGCATGCCCTGGAGAGACATTTCCAAGCTAAGGCATATGATAAAACTTGATTGCTAGGCAATCCGGCACATTCCTTAGGTGGACATTTATGATAATTATTGCTAAAACTCCTTGATTTAGAAATGAGTTCCACTGTTGTTGTTTTTTAATGGGCTTACTTTATTGAATGGTTAAATCACTATTTATTTGATGGTGCTGCTTTCAAATGGTAACGATAAATGAATTGCACCCACTGCAAAACTCTCACAAGGTTGAGTACTAATGCTACCCTAAACAAAGTCTTCGGTAGGTATTTGTATTCTATTTAGCTTTACAAGCTCTCCAAGTTTTCCTAACAGCATGGATAATAGATGTTTGCAATGTGAAAATGACACATATTGCAATACTTGAGCAGCTGGATTATTACTCAGAATTCAGCATTGGCGACTTTGAACTTCTACGCAGCAAGAGACTAATAATTCACATTATTATGTTGGATAATAAAGCAAAGCTGGCTGAGGAATTCTGGGAGTTGCCCCTGGGAGTCTGACAACCAATCAGAATACAAGCTCAAATTCAAATCCTAACAAAGGTTATAAAACCCAGGTACTCTCAGCACCTCAGCTCTTTCTTGATCTCTTCCTTCACCTTGAAGCATGTGATCATCCTTCCTTTTCACTCTGGAGCTCCAGGCCATGTGGTCCTCCTGTCCACCATTAAACCTTC